GGGTATAAAGTGTCCATCTCCATCTCTTCTGATTGGTTTTAGTTTGAAGGCAGTTTTGTTAGAAATTAGAATGGCTACACCCGCTTGTTTCTTAGGTCTGTTTGCTTGAAAAACCTTTTCCCAACCCTTTACTCTGAGTAGATGTCTGTCTTTGTGGTTGAGGTGTGTTTCTCATAAACAGCAGAATGTTGGATCCTGTTTTCGTATCCAATCTCTTAGCCTGTGCCTTTGTATAGGTGAATTGAGTCCATTGATATTAAGTGATATTAATGACCAGTGGTTGTTCACTCTGGTTATTATTTTTTTTTCCTTTTTTGGTGGTAGTTTATGTGTTTCCCTTCTTTGAGTTGTGCTGGTGAAGGGTTGCTAGGTTTCTGAGTTATTGTGGTCATTGTTGGATTCCTTGGTTTGTGATTTTCCTTCTATTACTTTCTGTAAGGCTGGATTTGTGGCTACGTATTGTTTAAATTTGTTTTTATCCTGGAAAATTTTGTTTTCTCCATTGATGTTGAATGAAAGCTTGGCTGAGTATAGTGGTCTGGGCTTGCATCCATGGTCTCTTAGTTTCTGCAGCACATCTATCCAAGATCTTCTGGCTTTCATGGTTTCCATAGAGAAGTCAGGTGTAAGTCTGATTGGTTTACCATTATAAGTTACTTGACCTTTTTCCTTTGCAGCTCTTAATATTCTTTCTTTATTCTGTATGTTTTGTGTTTTGATTATTATATGGTGAGGGGATTTTTTTTTTTGATTTAGTCTATTAGGTGTTCTGTATGCTTCTTGAACCTTCATAGGAATATCTTTCTTTAGGTTGGGAAAGTTTTCTTCTATTATTTTGTTGAATATATTTTCTGGACCTTTGAGCTGTAATTCTTCTCCTTCTTCTAACCCTATAATTCTTAGGTTTGGTCTTTTTATTGTGTCCCATATTTCCTGAATGTTTTGTGATGAGAATTTGTTGGATTTGCTATTTTCTTTGATCAGTGCATTTATTTTCTCTATGGTGTCTTCAGCAGCTGAGATGCTTTCTTCTATCTCTTGTATTCTGCTGGTTATGCTTGTTTCTGTAGTCTCTGTTCATTTACCTAGATTTTTCATATCCAGCTGGCCCTCGGTTTGTGTTTTCTTCATTACCTCCATTTCAGTTTTCAAGTCTTGAACTGTTTCCATTATCTCTTTGATTGTTTTTTCTTGGTTTCCTAGGGTATCTTTTCCGGATTTACTCATATCTTCAAACTTTTTGTTATTCTTCTCATCCATTTTGTTAAGGGAGTTTTTCATATCCTGTTTAAGGGAGTCTATCACTTTCATAATGTCAATTTTTTCTACATCTTCTGGATTAGGGTGTTCAGGTCTTCCTGTTGTATGTTCGCTAAGTTCTGGTGTTACCATGTTGTTTTTCAGATTGTTGGAGGAATTCTTGCATTGACGCGTGCCCATCTCTTCCTTCAAATGCTCTCAGGTGGATCTTCTGGTACAGGATCAGGGCCCCTTGCTGTCCAGGGACCTTGCAGACAAAAGGTCTAGTTTGGTGCCTGCAAGCTTAGTGAAACAAAGGAACTCCTGCCCGGTTGTACTCATCACCAGGTCCTGGCCCAAATACAGGCTGAGCTGGGGGTGGGGGGGTCTTATGTCCCCGGAGAAGGTACGGGGCGCCTGTGCAGAAGCTGGGATGGGATAGGAAGAGAGAGTCAGTAGCTGGGGAGAGAAGCCCCTGCAGAATGACCAGAAAGATTAGGGGGTTGAGGAATGTCGGCTCTCCATTTCTGGGGCAGAATGGGGCTTCTGCCACCAGTCCGGAACACACTCACCCCTCCGTTGGATATTCTGGTACAGGATCAGGACCCCTTGCTGGCCAGAGAGCTAGCAGACAAAACCTAGAATAGAACTTTTGAAAATCTCACAGAACTGTAAACTTTGAACATTGGGGTACCATCAATGCATGATGATTTTGTGAGATAAACAGAAAAGTAAAAGTGATTGAAAAGCATCACATGGTGAAGTGGAGGAAAGTAGGATCGAACTTCTATGTAGTGACTTCTATATACTTAGCATTACTTAGAAAATGTTTTGTATTATAATGTGCACTACTGACTGTAATGACTATCTGTGTTTTCTACAGAGGTCGACAGTCACACTCTATCTTCTCATGACAGTAGAGAGGACAGATGTTCCCCAGGCACATACGTGGTACTCATCAAGCAGAGTCCCAGTTTTTCCTTTTACCGGCTTTGAGATATCTGCTCCACTCTTAACCTTCCACCTCTTTTCTCCATTAGAATGATAATGTTGTATGTGCGAAATAAAATAGTGTTTATAACATGCATGCACAGACAATTCTAGGATTTTTTAAATTTATTTAAGAATTTTTTTAATGCATCTTATAATTTTATGAGCAATTCTTGGCCAGATTTAATTTGAGGGTGGTGAGATCTCTTAGAACTTTCTGTGCTTTTGTCATGGTATATGAATTTCCTGCATTTCACATAAGAAGTCAGTCAGATTGTACTCATACTCATATGTGTGTATGAGGGGGATTGGTGTGTACATGACTCTTCAACGATGGCAGTAATTAATACGAGCTCATGACAAGGACATTTCATTAGCAACAAGTGTGTTTATTAAACACTGACTAAGTAAAAGTTTTGTTTGAGAAATAGAGAAAAGTGATTTTTAAAGTTTGGTCCCGCAAAGGATCCATGAGGTATAAAGATTGATAGTTCAATTTCAAAAATAATCCTAATTTAAAATAACGCTTAATAATCTCTAATACAAAGAACTCCAAAGTGGAATCAGAGAAATTTAAAATTATTAAAGTAAACTGTAATATGACTTTCTTTGGTAGACCAGGAGGGCTACAAAGTTTGATATTTTGATCACATGTATAAAAGTTCCCCAGGGCTTAGGATAGGGTTCTTTGCATAAAGTGCTTGTGTAAGATGAGAACTTGAATTATGATCCCCAGCACCCATTTGAAAACCCCTCACTCCTGCAGTCTCAGTGCTAAGAAGCAGAGACAGATGGACCCCTGGGGTCTACTGGCAAGCCATTCTAGCTGAAACCCAGAGCCCCCAGGACCAGTGAAAGACACTGTCTCAGAAAATAAGATCCTACTGAGGAGTACATCACAATGTCAGCCTCTGACCTCAACACATCACCCTCACAGGAAAGCTCACCTGCTCCTGACACACATATACATCACACATCTCTGTCACACACACACACATATACCCACAGTTCCCCATTTCATTCACCAATATTTTCCATCATTTGAATAGGAGATTGATTTTATTATGTATTAATTATACAAAGGAACAGATTTTATTATAACGTTTGCATACACTCATGAAATGTGCTCTGATGATAGTCACATACACCTGGTAACCTTTCTAGGTTTCCTCTCTCCTTCCCTTTTTACACCCTAAGTACTCCCACTTCTGTGTCCACACACCTTCTCCCAAAATTATACACTTATAAAAAGGGGGGGATACTTGTCTTTTGGGTCTGACTTATTTTGTTTGGCACAATAATATTAAATTCCATCTAGTTTCATATAGACCACATGATTTGGTTCTTCTTTATGGCTAGTTAAAACTCTGGTGTGGATATATGCTACACTTTCTATATCTATGGAATGAATTTAAATGTAAGAGTCCTATTTTGATTTGGGCTTTCATAAAATTTGAAATATCTTTACAGGGTTGTTCAAAATTCTACTATTGTAAAACTCTTAGAAGAGAGATGTATATGCCTTTTTAGTGGTATATTTGGAAAAGAATGTCTTGGTACTTTCTCTTCTCTGTTATATTGTTATATTGTTTTTTGCTGATATTTTATCCCACTATACACACAGTCTATCTTTCAGTACATAAGACTTTCTCGTTGTGGAAAATTTGTTTAACTGTGCAAAGATGTGTTGCTGTTTTTTACCTGATTTGTAAAAGGCGCCTTATTGTTCTAATAAAAGCTAAACAGCCAATAGCAAGGGAAGAGCTATAGCAAGGGAAGAGCTATAGGTGGAACTTCTAGGCAGGGAGAATAAGTAGGAGGAGGAATTTAGGATGAGGTGGTGTCAAGGGAGAAGAGAAAAGAAAAGGAGACAGTGGGTAGATTGGCCAGATAGACAAACATGGAAGATGCAGCAAAGTCAGACTTACAGAATAAAGAAAGTTAAAAAGCCCTGAGACAAACCGTAGATGAACAAAAACAACTTAACATTAAAAAGCTAGTGGGGCAAAGCCTAAGCTAAAGCCAAGCATTCATAATTAATAATAAGTCCCCATGAGAAGCTGATAGGAGGCCCAAAGAAAATGCCAACTACACTTTCTCTTTGGACATATACCTTAAGAAGTTCTGTCAGTCCTTGCACATGATAGTATATTCTCAAACCTAAACATTATCCAGGTCTAGGTGGTGTGAGTAATTTAGAATTCCTCAAAATATTATATAGACTTTTGACTCCCATTTTATGGACTTTGAAGTATTCTATGATTCAAACTAAGTCAGCAGTGTTTCCTCAAAAAGGTTTTATGAAATTTCTGAAATGATAGATGATTTGTTGTTAACTTATCAACCAAGTGTGAATAATGGATTCTTCTTTTTGCTAATAAATATACTTTGCTTGCTCTCACCACCCGTGTGTGTGTGTGTGTGTGTGTGTGTGTGTGTGTGTGTGAAAGAGAGAGAGACATGTGCGTGCATATACAAATGATTTCGTAAGCTTCACTACTTTATGTTTTGCAAAATTAACTTTAGCTGTTACTTACCTTTGGGTGTTAGTGTGATTTTTTTCTTTTAACTATCATTCATATACATTTAATTTTTTGTATGGCATGATATATTGGTTTTACCTGTACCCGCATTATTAGATTGTAAATTCATTGAACAGAGGATCCCTGATTTGTTCAATCACTACTGCCCATGATACTTAGTACTTTGAATATGAATAAAACAGTTACGATAAGCAGGTAGTCAAGATGGTTTTGTGGTTTTTTTTCCAGATTTGGTGCATTTGACTTGTGTGTCTTCTAAAACAGCAAGAGAAGATTTAGAACCAGTAGTACAGAAATTGTTTACTCCATATACAGAAATGGAAGCAGGTAAGAAAATAGGGCAGTTGTGGTGGACAGTTAATGTAACATGATATTCCCCTTAGATATCTCAGGAACTGAACTGAGCCTGAATTAAAGTTCAGTATTTTAATTTTTTTATTCAGCAATTACTCCCACATATTTACTAAGGATTTTGAACATAGTCATTGCACAAAGAAAAGATGTGCAGTCTTTATTGTTAAGGGAAAGTACTCACACGTATAGACAAAAACCCCATAATTATCAAATGCACATTTATATGCATACATACTCACATGCCTGAGAAAGGGGAAGTACTGTTGGGAAATTTATTAATTAATTTTGGTAGTATTACAGGCACTTTTTCATAGCTATATTTCTTTTGCAGGATTTTTATGAAAAATATATAGTTCTTTATAAAATGTTTATTTAACTTTCAAAAGATTAAAATATTAATTGGCAAGTATATAAGTCCTGACTATAATTATCTTTAAAGTGCTATATGCCAAATACTTAGCTTTACAAATTGTATCTGTTTCTGACTCATAGTTAAAGAATACATTTCCACTTTGAACTTTTAAAATCACCTCACCCATAGTACGGTACACCTAGTAGCTCTGAGTGGAAAAAAATATTGCATATATAATATGTGAGTGATCAAAAATATAATGTGATAACTCTTCTTCATGTGTGTGAAGTAAAGGTCATTTTCATTAAAGCATTTTTGTGTTCTCTAGATCCCTTTCACTGTCTTCCCTTCTTACATTGCAGTGTTCTTTAAATGATACATTTATTCAGCCAGCCATTTGTTTTTATTCCTAGTGTTTATGTATTTCGGTCTCCTGTGTGTTGACTACTTTCTTAATGCAGAGATGATACAGAGTGAGATATAAACATTTACATATAAGACACAGTGTTCTATTTATACCTGCTAATGTCATTTCTTTTTGAAACCCCCAGTTGTATAAATTCTTTCAATCTGAAAAACTTCATTTGAGTTTAAATTTAGTCTATTTATGTATATTTTTCATTTGAATGTATTGTATGAATGTTTGAGTTACTGTTAAAATTTTGATTTCTAACTTATAATATATACAACCATATTCCTCAAACTAATGTAGAGTCTTCAGGCTTTAATTGCATCTGTATCTTGCTCATAACCAAGATTATCATTTTCATAGTGTCTCCGTTATAATTGCAGTTTATCACTGTGCCACACAATACACTTAACATATCATTATTCCTCACTTTTTAACTACATTTAATTTTCTGGTTTACAAAATCAAGCTGGCGGAAATTGCATGTTGGCTAACTAGCATCCACTAGCCATTTTAGATTTTTAAGATTAACCTTAATGGTTCAAGTGATCCCGGTTTGAAATGATGTATTGTTTGGAACCCCAGGGAAATTCTTTAGCAAGAACTATGCCAGAGGGGTCCTCAGGTGCACCGAGGCACTGCAGAGCTAGTTTGCACTGACACATAGGCCTTTTGATCATCAGGATGAGGTAGTGGTCATATTTTAATTAAAATGTCAGAACAAATACTGTTGGAGTTATTGAAAATGAATCACCAGATAAAGTGAGCACTGGGCCATGGCAGGTCAAAGAGGCAAAGTCACCTGCAGAAGAGAACTCAATTCATTTTCCTGCCTAAATGAGGGAGAAGCAACTTTGCGAGCAATATGAACTTTTCATACATTAAAACACATTCTTCTCTTGCAGAAGCTTGTATGTCTACAGGCTTTTATTGTCTTTTGGTTATTCGGCAATCATCTGAAACTTTGTGGTTTAGAGCATTGTCAATAATTTTGCTGAAACATGTAGCAGCAGAAGAATGCTGTGTGGCCTTGTTTGTTTCTCCATGGAGTTCAACATTCTCCATGGTGTTGTGCATTCTGAACCTTTATGAAAATTAGCCTCATCACCTTACAGGAAAGTTCGTTTCCTACAAAGGATGGTGTTCTCTTTACCACTATAAGACTGATTGACAGTGTGTGTTTGGGGGTGGCGGGCAGATTGTGGTAAGGTTCTGAAGACAGTACCTTATCTTTCTTACCTTTCAGGTTCATGAATAGCAGCCAGAAGTATTCAGACTGTCCTCTCCAAAGAAATCATTGTACTCATACCCACCCACCAGGCTCCTTTAAGCACATCAAATATCTCTAAATCTTTGTCTATGTTTTAGTCTAAAGAAATATCAGATGATTTATGCTTAATGAGCCTCATTCTATAGGTTAAAAAATCAGGTCATTTCTTACAATTCATTTTCTTGTGTAGGGTCTAGGTTATCCTTGTAAACATTGAGAGGTGATAAACTGAGTGCTATGCGGGTCTCACTGACAGAACTGTACTGATTTCTTATTTTACCCAGAAATAGAAGATTTTTCAATACAAGGTAAAGCCGGAATTTTGTTAGTACAGTATGTATAAATGTCTAGAATCTAGTATTATCATAGCATCATCTTCTTTTTATTTTTTTAACCCTCCAATCTGCCTGGTTTGTCGAGTTGCCTCATTTATTGTAATCATTTCTATCTCTAAGAGCAATGCTTCCTAAAAACAAATTCCCTTCACAGATGAGTGTGAATTTGGTGGCTTGTAAGGATATTAACTGTACCAGGAAAGCAAATGCCATATCTTAATTTCTGGTTTTTATTTCACTTTTATATTCCAGGGCTTATGCAGCTTAGCTAAATGATTTTACTTGTTTCCTGCCCATGGCATGTACCTAGAAACATATCTTGCTTTTATTTGGTTTGCCTTCACTGATTTTCTTTTCCCTCTTTATTCAGTACATACACTTGTTTAATTACCACAAAATCTTATTCTCTGTCACCTCTTACCTCCTTAGTCTAGCATGTCATCTAATTGATCTGATTGAAATGAGCTATTATTTAGTAGCTTTAGTAGTTTTAACTATTATTTGCTTCAGAGTGTATATTGTTTTTCCAGCGCTCGCTCTCTCTCTCTCTCTCTCTCTCTCTCTCTCTCTCTCTCTCTCTCTCTCTCTCTCTCTATTTCTATCTCTATCTCTCTGTCTGTCTCTCTCTCTCTCTCTCTACCTCCAGCTGACCTCCAAGAAAGATGAAGCAATTACATGTCTCTTTGAAGGTTCTAAGGTCAAAGCTTGATGGCTCCCTTGTATCCAGACCATTGATCTTCAGACTATGTCAATTTTCACTTTCAACAGAGTTGCTTGTTAAAGCCTTAACCTTTGTGAAATCTCTTTCCTAAAATCTGTTGAACTATTCATTTCAGCTGTCTTGTATTGAATGAAAGCTGTCCTCAAAGGCAGAGAACACTTATGAACTAGAAGATAGGTTCACCTAATATTTACCTAGATATGACCTGGGTCCTACTAAAGACCTTCCACACCTTAGCTCATTTTCCTGCTGTGGTGTTTGATGCCATTACACATAGATGGCATTTCCCCGCAGTGTTTGATACATGATGCAGAGGTTGTGTTTTTAAATAAATTCTCACAGTTTAGTGAAGCTAAACTCACTAGTCAGTTTAATAAAACTCAAATGAAATTAACTATGAAATACCGTTTTTTTACAGCTTTTGTTAATAAGTAGTTTTTGCTGTGTAATGTGTCTCTGCATGAATTAGTGGTCCCTCAGACTCAGATCTTAGCATCAGTATGAGATTCATTTCCTTGGGGCTGGAGAAAAGAATCAGTGGTTAAGAATTTCTGCTCTTCCTAAGAACCTGGCTTCAATTTCTAGTACCCACATGGCAGCTCACAACTGTCTCCAGTTCCTGAGGGATTTTTATGCCCTATTCTAGCTTCTGCATGCAAGTGGTGCACAGCCAAACTCCATTCAAACCACTACCTACCCACATAAAATAGACAATTATGATAAATTGAAGACTCCTTATAAGAGCACTTCTTTCATTCAGTTCCTTATCTTTTCACCCTAATAATTATGAATTATTCAGGGCAAATAAGAAAATATGGCATATAGCTCTTCCTACAGAAGACGTATTTAAAATTATATAAAATTTATTTATTCTGGGGCCTAGGGCATTCTTATTAATTGAATGATATATTTAGCTAAAATTGTTCTACATTGTTTACTAATTCAATAAGAACAGTAATTGAATAATTACAACTTTAACATTTTCTTGATGATTCACACAGTGTCTCACAGAGTTTCACTACTGTCATAAACATTCCTTATTACCATTATGCAGACTTTTGACTTTTTGGCAGAGTTGGGCTAGAGAAAACTATAATCGATACATGTGATAACAGCAGTTTTTTCTGTCTTCAACCAAAGAAATTTTAATTATAACATTTTAAAAGAAAAGAGGCAGAGGAATGATCATTACTATAATAAGAAATGAGCTGTAGGAATTGAGATTAACAAGATTGAACCTTTCTATAAACACTTTATATTTTCATTATGGAGAATATTACCAAAATGCATTCATAAATTATTTAGTGAATGTATTTTGTGTGCCAGGCCCGGTATTAGAAGAAAATGTTAAATACAGGGGAATCAGAACTAAGTCTACTCCATCTGTATGTCCCCAGATCTTATGTCATTGCCTGACATGCATAATGGATGCCTGCTGCTCAGAGAGAACTTGTACTCACAATGACATTTGACCTAGTGGCCTCATTTTTTTGCAAATTCCTTTTGTTGTTTGCCATTAATTTTGTGATCCAGTAACATAAAGCATTAGAGTGAGAGTTAGTATATATCATTTTAAATTCTGTATGTGTTATTTTAAGTAGTATTTTTAAAGCTATTATTCATATGCCATAAAATTTTCACATTTCAGGTGAAGCTCCAAGTTTTAAAAGCTATAGTCATAGAACTGTCTAAACAGCTGTAGAAACAACTGTAAAACACTTCTGATTCTGCCCTCTGCCAAAAAATTTTCATATCCATAAATAGCCACCTGACCTTTGTCCCCAACCCCCTTCCCTGACCTCTAAAGTACCCATTAATTCCTATCTCTATTTGCTATGCTTTTGTTTATTCTGAATAATATCAGTTTATATGATTGTCATCTTATATGTATATACTATTAAGTTACTATATAGCATTAAGTTGTTTTTCTATCTGAAACATGATTTATGTTATCTTTTCACTTAGGGGAGATAAATTAAGGGTGGCTAGGATTGTAAGAACTTTAATATTTTGTTGCATCCATCCATTCATTCATTTTTGTGTGCATCTGTAGGCATTGGTCAGAGAACAATTCAGGAATTGTTTCTCTCCTTCCATCATGTGAGTCCCACACATGATGGCACACCAGTCTTCAGGCATAGTAACCAGGGTCTTAACCTGCTGAGCCATCTTGCTAACCTTTGAGAATAATTTCTAAAATCTACCTTCTTCTGGACTGAAAAGATTTCATTGTGTGAAATGCCATATTTCACCTTAGAGTTTGTGTTTTCACATTCAGTAATTGCTTATTTATTTATTTTTGTATTGAGAAAAGCAAGAAAAAAAAAACAAGTTTCCACCTCCTCCCAGCCTCCCATTTCCCTCCCCCTCCTCCCACCCTTCTCCCCCTCCTCCCACTCCTCTCCCCCTCCCTCTCCAGTCCAAAGAGCAGTCAGGGTTCCCTGCCCTGTGGTAAGTCCTAGGTCCTCCCCCCTCCGTCCATATCTAGGAAGGTGAACATCCAAACTGGCTAGGCTCCCACAAAGCCAGCACATTGCGTACAATCAAAACCCCGTGCCATTGTTCTTGGCTTCTCATCAGCCCTCATTGTTCACCATTTTCAGAGAGGGGCATTTTATACTCATAACAGGAACAGTTCATCAGGATGAAGTCTCAATCCTGAATATCTATGCCCCTAATATAAAAGCACCCACATACAAAAAAGAAACATTGCTAAAACTCAAGGCAGCCATCAAACCGCACACACTAATAGTAGGAGACTTTAACACTCCTCTCTCACCAATGGACAGGTCAATCAGACAGAAACCTAACAGAGAAATAAGAGAATTAATGGAGGTAATGAATCAAATGGACTTAACAGACATCTATAGAACATTCCACCCAAATAGGAAAGAATATACCTTCTTCTCTGCAGCTCATGGAACTTTCTCAAAAATCGACCACATAGTCGGTAACAAAGCAAACATCCACAGTTACAAAAAAATATTTGTAACCACCTGTGTCTTATCAGATCACCATGGATTAAAGTTAGAATTCAACAACAATGCTACCCGCAGAAAGCCTACAAACTCAGGGAAACTGAACAGTCAACTACTGAACCATACCTGGATTAAGGAAGAAATAAAGAAAGAAATTAAAGTCTTCCTGGAATTCAATGAAAATAAAGAAACAACATACTCAAACTTATGGGACACTATGAAAGCAGGCCTAAGAGGAAAGTTCATAGCACTAAGTGCCCACTTAAAGAAAACAGAGAAAGCTCACATTGGAGACTTAACAGCCCACCTGAAAGCTCTAGAAAAAAAAGAAGCAGACTCACCTAGGAGGAGTAGAAGACTGGAAATAATCAAACTGAGGGCTGAAATCAACAAAATAGAAACACAGAAAACAATCCATAGAATCAATGAAACAAAAAGCTGGTTCCTGGAGAAAATCAACAAGATTGACAAACCCCTATCCAAACTAATCAAACGGCAGAGAGCGAATTTGCAAATTAATAAGATCAGAAATGAAAAGGGGGACATAACCACAGACACAGAGGAAATTCAGAGAATCATTAGATCTTACTACAAAAGCCTATATGCCACAAAACTGGAAAATGTAAAGGAAATGGACACTTTTTTAGATAAATACCATATACCAAAGTTAAACCAGGACCAGGTGAACAATCTAAATAGACCTGTTAGTCACGAAGAATTAGAAGCGGTTATCAAAAACCTCCCTACCAAAAAAAGCCCAGGATCAGATGGTTTCAATGTGGAATTCTATCAGAACTTCCAAGAAGAGCTAATACCTATACTCCTTAATGTATTTTACAGTATAGAAACAGAAGAGTCATTATCAAATTCCTTTTATGAAGCTACAGTTACTCTGATACCAAAACCGCACAAAGACTCAACCAAGAAAGAGAATTATAGACCAATCTCACTCATGAACATCGATGCAAAAAGCCTCATCAAAATACTGGCAAACTGAATCCAAGAACACATCAGAAAAATTATCCATTATGATCAAGTAGGCTTCATCCCAGGGATGCAGGGCTGGTTAAACATATGAAAATCTATCAATGTAATCCATCATATAAATAAACTGAAAGAAAAAAATCATATGATCATTTCATTAGATGCTGAAAAAGCATTTGACAAAATTCAACATCCCTTTATGATAAAAGTCTTGGAAAGATTAGAGATACAAGGGTCATACCGAAATATAATAAAAGCTATATACAGCAAGCTGACAGCTAACATCAAATTAAATGGAGAGAAACTCAAAGCCATCCCACTAAACTCAGGAACACGACAAGGCTGTCCACTCTCACCATACCTCTTCAATATAGTGCTTGAAGTTCTAGCAATAGCAATAAGACAACATAAGGGGATCAAGGGGATTCGAATTGGAAAGGAAGATGTGAAACTTTCGTTATTTGCAGTAATTGCTTATTTATAAAAATATTTTCTATAAAGTCTAATCATGACTTTGTTCGTATTTGGCCATATAGTATAATAAATTATGATTTTCAATTTGATAAAATTTATTTTTACTTCCAGAAAATGAACATATTGAAAAGCCAAGGATTCTATGGGCACTGTATTTCAATATGAGAGATTCATCAGATATCAGCAGAGATTGTTATAATGATTTACCATCCAACGTTTATGTGTGCTCTGGCCCAGACTGTGATCTAGGAAATGATAATGCAGTCAAACAGGTACGGCATGGCATTTCTTAGTTTTGTATTAAAAAAATTGATATACTGGGATAAGTGAGTGGTTTTTATCCTCCTGGGTAGAGGGGAAAGAAAGTAGTAAAACATCTTTCTTTTTCATTTAATAATCATTGGCTTTTTGTCTGTGAACTACATTGCTACCTTAAATACTCTATCAACTGTTTTACCTCCTTAAATTGTATAAGGAATTATAAAGGCTTATTTATGAGAACTACTTTGAGAATAAATAATGAAAATTTTAGAAATATATATTGCTAAAATGAATTTGAAATGCCAATATTCTTAAATATTGCTTCTAATAATTATTGGATTATTGGTGCATATTTAAAAAAAAAATGTTGTTCTCCAGGAGCCTAAGCCATTTCCAGGAAGGTTAGAACAAGCAAAGTATGTAAGATTTTTTTTCTTTTTCTTTTTGTTTTTTTTTTTTTTTCTTTTTCATGACAGGGTTTCTTTATGTAGCTTTGCAACCTGTCCTGGAACTCACTCTGTAGAACAGGGTGGCCTCAAACTCACAGAAATCCACCTGCCTCTGCCTCCTGAGTTTTGGGATTAAAGGTGTTCGCCACCAACGCCCGACATATGTAAGATAATTTTACAATGGTCTCATGCATTTCTTAATCTTGGAGAGAATGAGTAATGTAATTTTACGTAATGAACATAACACCATTAATGTTTTGACTCAAGCCAGTGCCTCCAAAGCTGCTGTTATAGTTGCCAAAAAGTATGTTAAATCCATGTGGACAATTCTAGGTAGAACGGTGAAGAAGGGCACACTTATTTTAGATGCCAAAGGTACACTCTGATTCCAGTAAGCAGAAGATTCTTAGGACATATTTTAAAAACCCCCTTTTTACCTTGATAGGAAGAAAAGAAGAGAAGGCATGCTTTTAGGCAAATGTGGAAACTTTTGTCAGGTCCTTTTGGTACTTTCATCATTTAATCAACAAGTCAATAATTTAATGATTTTTAGTAAATTTTGTTCTTCGCAATTCCATGTATGTACTTTGTGTGTTCTAAATACTCTTTTACCCATTCCTATTTCCTTGCCAACCATATCAGTAATCTCCCCCTACACACACACACACACACACACACACAGAGAGAGAGAGAGAGAGAGAGAGAGAGAGAGAGAGAGAGAGAGAGAGAGAGAGACTGACTGACAGACAGACTGACAGACACCCTACAAATCTCTTTCCCTGTTTACCAGCTTTGGTTTTGTTTAATGCCTCCATACAGTTTAATTAAGGCCAAGTATGTAACCGTAATTTCAAAACTAACCTTGAGGACCTGAACTAATTAGTATGCAATGGGTTACTCTGCCTCCCCAGTCCTAGAATCTATTGGTTACCAAAATATATGCAGTAAGTGTAGATCACCTTCAGTCCCATCTCCTTCTCTGTACCTGGCAGTTATGAGGGTCTAGCTTCTGTGAACACAGCTGTTATGAATTCATGGTTGCCATGGCTATATCTTTCTTACTTAAAAGATGGTATTTCATGTCTTCTTTCCACCCCCTTGTCAGCAGTTTCCTGAGTTTTATGGAATGTGTGTATGTGGGTGGGGGTGACTCTAAGACCACAGAAGACATGAATTCAATTATATTCTCACCAGTAGCAGCGATCTTTTAGTACCAAGTAGTTTTATTGAATCCTTAAAATACCCTTTCGTCACAGCAATAATGTATGAATAGTGATGCAGCCTTTTGCTATAATTTTATAAGTCATCATTAGAGCCTAATATTGGTCTTTGAAAATTATGCTAGACCCTGAGCAATGTCACACAAACAGGGAATTACATCTCGTACCCATAGCTTAAGATTTGCATTTATGTCTTAAGCTAATAATGTTGTTTTTACTTAGTGACCCATTTTTCTTGAAAGAAGAAAATTTTCAAAAACCCTTTATCTAATTAACTTTGGTTAGGCTGGTATTTTTTCTGAGTAAACAAAACATTGTTTAAACCAAAATAGGAGAATTTTAAAGTAAAGATTTATAATACAAGTGCTTTTATATATATACTGTATACTAGAAGATTACAGTTAAAAGGCAATTTTTCAACACAGTAGTTTGCTTCACAGAAAGGTAACTTTCATGGGTTATATGAAATATAATGAAGAAAACAGCATTAATGTTTAAATACTCACTAACATGTTATATCTTATATCCACTTGAGGAAAAGTATGCTTTCTTTAAAGAGCATCAGTAATATTTATACATTGCCAATTTATTTGGATAAATTAAGCTCTAATTCCAGTATATCATCATGTGATTATATGAGTTACCTATTGCCAACTTCTGTTTTCTAATTAAGGAAAGTATTCATGAAAGCTCTCAGAATATTATCTTGGCTTTGCCTATATAAATTACACAGGCTCCTGCAGTGTTGTAATATATTTCTTTTTCAACTAAAATTCTACATTTTAGCTTTTGGAAATTTTGTTCCTTTCTTTACTTCATATTGCAAAGAGATTGAATATGTGAATCTGACTCTCTTGTATGCATATGTGACAGCTTATGATTCTAAGATGCACTGATGACTTACTAATAATACTTCTGGATCTGACTTTAGAAGCCTCCAGTTCAGTATGCGTAGATCTTAAGTGTTCTAACTACAAATATCCAAAATGATATCTGTGGTTGGTTTTATTTTTAAGTAACATAAAAAGTATTTCGAATCATTATGGCATTTTCAAACAAAACTTAATTGTTGTCACTCTGAGTTTGAGCCTTTTTCCTTAATATACTTTCCAAATTCAAGTGAAAGCATGTTTTATTTCATTTGATTTTGGTAACCATTGTACTATGTATGCCAAGATGTCACTATATATACATACACACACACACACACACACACACACACACACACACACACATATCCAACTAAATGGTTAAATTTTTTAAGTATATACATAGGAAATGTTCTGTTACAAAATATGTGTACACTTGAAGCCTACCTAAAAATCAAATTACTTTCAAATCCATATTAAATTAAAACAAATGGCTATGTGGGGTAAAGGTGCTTGCCATAAAAGCCTGACAACCAGAGCTCAAATCCCATAACCCAAGGTAGATGGAGAAAACCAATTCTGGGAAGTTGTCTTCTGGCCTCTACATATGTACAGTGGCACATGTATACACACACGCGCGCGCACACACACACATACACACACACTAAAAATAAATAGTTCAAATCAACTTTAAATGTTTCTATGATTCTGTCATTACCCTTCCACCAAACTCCCAGAATAGTGAAGGTCAATATTTAGGTTGTTCAGCCTGTGTCCTCCTCATTGCAACTTCTCAGCTCTGCCATTAAAGAGAAAACGCAGATATAGATAATAGGTAAACTAATGAGAATTGTGTTCCAATAAATCTTTATTTAAAAAAAATCAAGAGGTAGTCTGGGTTGGTCCCTTGGGCCATAGATGGTCAAGTTTTGACCAAACAGATAAAGCAAGAGATATTCTGGGTTGGACCTTACGGCCATAGGTGATTAACTTTTGGCCAAATAGATGACCTTGCATATGTATTACAGAAAAGAGAGAAGCAGTATAGGAAATCAGTATGTTCTTTAACACCTTAAAATGACTCTTCCTCACCAGTTGCCAAAAATAAAAGCCCCCTATCATGATACAAAGCTTTAACTAACAGTAAGGTGGATTATTGCAACTTGCCACATCTATTATATTTATTATTAGTATCATGTTTGCTATTTTATTCTCTTACCTTGTCCTACTAAACTCAACCACATGTACTGGTTAAAACGTAATTACATAAATTTTTAAAGATGTGATTTTTTTTTATATAATGTCACAAATGTACATACATTTGAAGCTGATGTTCAAAAATTAATTTGTCCTTTCATCCTTGTCTAGGCAGAAACACTCTTCCAGCAAATCTGCCCAAATGAGGACTTCTGTCCAGCCCCACCAAATCCTGAAGATATTGTCTTTGATGGAGACAGTTCACAACAAGAAGCATCAGAATCCACTGTTATATCAGAGACCAACTCGGAGACTCCCAAGGGAAATACAGACCTGGGATACCCAGAGGAGCCCTCTAAGTAGTGGATATGCATTAGACTTACTATCCTAATTTGAGAATTCTTGGCTTCATAGTCCTGATGGATGGAGTATATGAAAACTTAGAAAGCAACAACTAGTAGGCAAAATTACAAAACGAAATGAGTCCTAGAAATCTAAAGGGCAATTTTCTTCAAAGAAAGCATTTCTGGGAAAATAAAACACTTATAAAGCACATTGACTTGCCTATTTGAAGATAACAAACCTGTGAGATTAGCATTCCTGGGAATGTAGCTATGATGTTAAAGGGATCCTATGCATTGTAAGTAATTATGTGGTATTCACATAAATTTGCCACATCTGGAGAATCAGCTCTCATACTTATTTTGTTTATTTGAATTATATTTTCATTCTGGGTATGATATAACAGATAAGAGCATATGTAAATACAATAGAGTAAAGCTAAACTATCATAATCTGGCCAGAAGCCTATATTTGGAGTAAAAGTTGGTTTTATTTTATATGTTAAAAACTGAAAATGTTAATACTAAGGTGTTTAGATGATTTGCTAATCATGATTTGTTAGTAAGTAGTGACTTTGGTGTAATATTATACACACTGGCTAAAGTTTAAAGATGAAACGTAAGAATAGAAGCATACATTTGGATAAGATCAGTGATCCTTCATGATTCTACTAAGTCAGAGTAACGGAAGCACTAACCTTGTTCACAGAACTAATTTGGTCATGGCTATGCAACTTAAAATATTGGGCAGCTTGTTTAACTTCTTCAGTTTCTGCAGATTTAAAGAGGACTACTGTGCCTAGTGTGTCAGAATAGTTATGAAGCACCATCCTTAGAGTGGCTCCTCTGGAAACACACTGTTTGGAACTTTCCCATTGGTTGACCTGTGGGTAAATATCAAACCAACCTCACGATCACAGTGTTACATGTATTGCGCTAAATTTTTAAAATGCAGCCTGGTGGTGGTGGCACACACCTTTAATCCCAGGACTCGTGAGGCAGAGTGATTGTGAGGATCTCTGTGAGTTCAAGCCCAGCCTGGTCTACAAAAGCTAGTTCCAGGACAGCTAGAACTGTTACACAGAGAAACCCTGTCTCAAAAAACCAAAAAAGAAAAGAAAAAAAATTAAATGCAAGTCTGTTTCCTAAACTCATTAGTAGCAAGTGGATTGGTAGTTTTTAAAGACTTTAAAGTTTTTAAAGTCTTAGAAATATTTTATAAATTCATATTCCTCTTCTGGCAACTAAATATAAGATCATGGAAAACTAAACAGAATCTGGCAGTTAATATACTGTAATACACTCTTTACATGAAAACATGAGGGCTATACAATGGCAGCAAACTTATTTGCAATGCCTGTATTTAAATTTCTCTGAGCTCTGATGGTCTACTTTCTTTGAGCAATAGTTTGGACCTAGAACTGCCTGTAAATAAATAAACAATAAATAAACCCAGTTTCCTGTCAGGGAGCCATGGCTCCAGTGAACAGCACAGAGTTCTTCATGTGCAGCTGGTTCCTGGCCTGGCCAGGTTTCAGAGAAGATCTCAAAGGAAACTCCCAGCAGAGAGTCTTGATAAACAGAAAAATCCAAGGACTGTTGCTCTTGCTGACCCCTTCAGATTGAATTGGATTGAGAACAACAGGGAAAGCGTCCCAGACTCCCAGACTGCTCTTCTCAGGCTGCCTGCACTCCCGCTGTACAGCCCTCTCCTCTGTAGTACCCCTTCCCTTTTGTAATGCCACACAAATCAGGGACAGATTCACATTATGACCTACTTTGTCACAAAGCTTCAGCTCTTCAGTCAGCTGTTGTTTCCTGAAGCCCAACCAGGGCATGCACTAAATGCCAAGTACATACCTGTACTGCACCAGGTATTGGTCCTGCCTCTCCATGCCAGCAATAGAAAAGTTTCTCTTAGATGAGAGTATTAAGTTGGAATACAATCACAGTAAAGTTGCACCAATAAAAATGTTCTACTTTGTTATAATATCTAGAGTTAAGGATTCCTAAATACAGCATGCACATTTATCTAAGGAGACAGGCTCTTAGATAGGCTAAGAGTAAATAGAAACCTCTGGACACTGCAGCTATGTAAATTGTTGAGCAACTGTGTTATGCTTTCATGGCCTAGCTCATACTGTATCTTTTTCCATTCCTTTGATGACATCAAAACCAATTGCTCTTCCTGGCCATTTACTAAATATATTGTTGAAATGCTTAAAGCTCCTTAAATACCATGAAACTTTTTTAAAATTGTGGACAATTCTGCCTATTTCCTGTCACCTCAGAATGCAATACGAAACATTTTAAGAGCTTTTTCTTGTTTTCTTAATTACTGCAAGGAAATACTTGATTTTACGGTTTGAAGTTCCAAACAATACCAACAACAAACATTAAGATAGTGTTGTAAAACCGTAAATCTAAAGTCATATGAAGAAAATTGTTGTTTTACATAATGCAGATGTTTCAGTAATTTCAAATTTGAAAGTTGCTGTAATCAAAGAATTTATACTTGTATGTTCAAAATATTTAAATATGCATGCCTGTTTCTTAGTAACCAAAAATCCTATCATTAATTTAAGTGATTGATATCAGATCCAATAACTAATCCTATGTTGCTTTTGTATATTTTTTCTAATTGGTGTGCCTGCCCAAGAAAACATAAATAATAGATGTCACTTTCTATTTTTCTATAGTAAAATGGCCACCACGTCATGGGTAACTTATAGAATAGTGAAAATTTCTAAAATAATATCAATTATAAAGTTGATTGTTGACAATTATTAATTTCTGACAAGATTGTTTCTAGATTGTTTCTGTCTTCAATTTTGTTTTCTAGTTCCTAAATAGTAGCAATCATTTAAAGAAATTTAAACCATTTTCTTGCAAATTACTTATACACTGTTATTGGTATTAAATAATTTGTCTTTTGCTCAGTAAACTTTCTTATATGTATTTGAAAAAGCATGAATATATAATTGCATACTGTAACAGGGAGTTTTCAGAGGAAATAAAGACTTTCAATGCCTTTCCACTGTAATGGCCTATTTCTTCATGCTTGAATTTTGTATATAGGGTTAGAGATGCACCTCAGTGGTAGAGACTTTGTTTAGCAAAGTCTACCTACTAGAACTTTTAGGAGTAGATAGCCTGTTCTATCGCACTTCCACTCCTCATCCAAGGTTCCCTTAGCTTATAGTCAACTCTGCATGTGTTTGATTATAACTTAATAAGGATTCTTTAATAGGAGACTGACTTAATGTATATTGATTGGTATAAAATACTAATCCCAAAAACAACTTTTAAAAATATATAAGTGTTGGATGGTGGTTGCACACCACTTTAATTCCAGCACTCAGGAGGCAGAGGCAGGTGGATCTCTGAGTTTGAGGACAGCCTGGTCCACAGAGTGAGTTCCAGGACAGCTGGGGCTACACAGAGAAACACTGTCTCAAAAAACATGTGTGCGTGTGTATGCCAATAACTGAAAGGTTGTCTTGGATCTGGGTTACTTTTCTGCTCTTTTACTGCTATTAAATAATTGTCAGCTATGTGTTTTGTTTAATTTGCAGGCTTCTACCTACCCACAGTGGTAAATTAGTATGACAGACTACCAAACTGAGTGGCTTTGGTTTACTTAGCAAAATATTCTAGATACCAATATTAATGTCACTATCAAGCAAAAGTCGATAGTAGTTTATCCTGAGATCACTGTTACGGAGGCTGTGAGGCATACATAAGCTATGGCTTTACAGTACGTTGATCACCTACAGCCTGCTTTCACATCTTAGGAGATCCAAAATGGTTTTTCATGTTTGGTGATGAAAACTGGAAATACTTGATTCTCTTACAGCTTATTTGCAGTAGGAAAAATTATTGCTTCTGTTCTTTGTATGCAGAAATAATTCATTAAGCTATGGTTTTTCTTGAACGAAATAATCAAAGATTACTGATATTTTCTGTCAATTCCAAGTAGTTCATGAAGTTCCTCAGAACATATAGAAAAGCTAATCTAACCAGAACTCTTGCAAAACAAGCAATTTTATCTGTGAGATTATTAATAAATCAAGTCTTTGAAAGCTAAGGTTGATTGAATTTTTAAACAAGTGGCTGTGTATCCTTCAATCACCTTGTTGCTCATAGAGTATTAAGACTCTTTTAAGAAATCCTGTGATATGTTCGAATTCTCTTTAATTATAGCTGTTTAGGACACCAAACAGTTTAACAGTGGGCTTTCCGAGTCACATTTTGAAGGCCATGTTCTTCCCATTAATGCAGTTTTGCTATGGACTCCAGTGAGAAATTCCTCCTCTGTGAGTTACTGTGTCTCCTCTATCTGGTGATGAGGATTCAGGATTCATTTGATAGGCCATCAGTCATTAGAACTTGAATCCTAGGAGACTGTAGAGTCTTTTTGCCGATCTCTCTAAGATTTATTCTGGTAATTCCTATCAGTGCTAATAGGACTTGCTCCTGTAGATCTTCTTTCTATAAAGTGGACAATCGAACCCTAAAAGAAAATTAGCTAGTGATATACACTGTCACGGATCAAGAAGTAGCACCGAGTAGCTCTACTCTAGATTTTCCTGTGTGGTGGGAAAGCGTCAGTGTCAGCAGATTGTTGATAGAACCTGAAAGGCTCTTGATTTTCTATTTCCGTTTTAATACATAATAGAAACTTCCTCTTCTAAGAACTACCAATATAAGTTTTTCTCATACAAGAGAAAACTTTTTTCGATTTTGTTTGTTGGTTGGTTATTGCTTGTTTGTTTTTGTTGTTTTAAGCAGTATCTCACAACATATCTCTAGATGGTCTAGAACTTACTATTTACACAAGATTGGCCTCAAACTCACAGATCACCTGCCTCTGCCTCTTCAGTGCTGGGATTAAAGGTGTGCACTACCACATCTGGCAAGAGTAAACGCTCAAATTAATATTTTGAGAAGTTCATACATGAGTACTATATGTCACTTCTGATTCCTCCTAATGCTATGTCTCTGTCCACTCTCAAAATCAGGACATCTTTAATTATTGTTACATATACACACTGCACAACCTACAGAGCCCATTTAGTGTTGCTTATATGTGCTAGCTTGGACCACTTGGGACTGCCTAACCTATCAGAAAGCTCATGCCCACAGAAAACCAATAAATGCCTTCTCATCACTCATTGATAGCCTGTAGCTCTCTATGTAGGAGTGGAACCTTGTGAAATTTACACATTCAGTGTTGGCATGTCAACATAAATATTGGCACAAAAGTGAGTGCGGACACATGGGGAAGTTGGAGGGAGGGGTCACTGCTCTCTAGAAGTGGGACCTGGAGAGAATGGAGTTGATAAATGGGGTGGGCCAGTCTTCTGCACCAATTTTATTCAGAGCATCAGACAATTTATACACTGAGCATAAAGAGAAAACTCATGAATAATGTTCTCGTGGGTTCAAGTTGTGTACAGTTGCAAGGGCAAGCAACACATGGCAAAAACATGTTTTCCTAGAGACGCATATAAAGGGTAGTTTAAACATTAAATAGAACAGCAAGTAATAATGAGTAATCTGAAGTATAACAAACTCCTGGTCGCTTAACCTGGAAGGAGCAAAAAAACAGTCTAAGAACAATTCCATGTTTTGAAGACCTTATAGTGTTCTCACAAGACCCTATTCCTGAACCATGTTCCAACAGGGACCAAGTGGTAGACAGATATGGTCAAAATGTACTGTTTAAATCTATGGAATTTTCAAAGAATTAAAAATTGTTCTGGAAACGTTGAACAATTTTTTTTTAATTTTTTATTGAGAAAAAGAGGGGAAAAAAAAGTCTCCGCCTTTTCCCAGCCTCCCATTTCCCTCCCCCTCCTCCCACCCTTCTCCCCCTCCCCCAACTCCTCTCCCCCTCCCTCTCCAGTCCAAAGAGCAGTCAGGGTTCCCAGCCCTGTGGTAAGTCCTAGGTCCTCCCCTCTCCGTCCATTCCTAGGAAGGTGAACATCCAAACTGGTTGGCTCCCACAAAGCCAGAACATGAAGTAGGACCAAAACCCCTTGCCATTGTCCTTGGCTTCTCATCAGCCCTCATTGTTTGCCATGTTCAGAGAGACCGGTTTTATCCCATGCATTTTCAGTCACTAGCTGGCCTTGGTGAGCTCCCAATAGATCAGCCGCACTGTCTCAGTGGGTGGGTGCACCCCTCATGGTCCTGACTTCCTTGCTCATGTTCTCCCTCCTGCTCCTCATTGGGACCTTGGGAATTCAGTCCAGTGCTCCAGTGTGGGTCTCTGTCTCTATCTCCATCCATCACCAGATGAAGGTTCTATGGTGATGTGCAAGATATTCGTCAGTATTGCTGTAGGATAGGGTCATTTCAGATTCCCTATCCTCAGCTGCCCAAGGAACTAACTGGGGACATCGCCTAGTGCTCCTGAGAGCCACTCTATGTTCAAGTCTCTTGCCAACCCTAAGGTGGCTCCCTTAACTAAGAATTGTGCTTCCCTGCTCCTCTATCCAGCCTTCCTTTATCCCAATCATCCTGTTTCCCCAAGTTCCCCCCATTCTCCCCTTCTCACTTTTCTCTCCCCATCTCCGCTTACTCCCATCCCAACCACCCCCAAGATCCCATTTTTTTCCCAGGCAATTTTGTCTACTTCCCATAGCCAGGAGGATAACTGTTTTTCTTTGGGTTCACCTTCTTATTTAGCTTCTTTATGATCACCAATTATAGACTCCTTGACCTTTATTTATGGCTAGAAACCAATTATGAGTGACTACATCCCATGTTCATCTTTTTGGGTCTGGGTTACCTCACTCAGGATAGTGTTTTCTATTTCCATCCATTTGCATGCAAATTTCGAGAAGTCATTGTTTTTTACCGCAGCATAGTACTCCAATGTGTATATATTCCACACGTTCTTAATCCATTCTTCCATTGAAGGGCATCTAGGTTGTTTCCAGGTTCTGGCTATTACAAATAATGCTGCTATGAACATAGTTGAACAAATGCTTTTGTCATATGATAGGGCATCTCTTGGGTATATTCCCAAGAGTGGTATTGCTGGGTCCAGGGGTAGGTTGATCCCGAATTTCCTGAGAAACCGCCACACTGCTTTCCAAAGTGGTTGCACAAGTTTGCATTCCCACCAGCAATGGATGAGGGTACCCCTTCCTCCACAACCGTTCCAGCAAAGGCTATCATTGGTGTTTTTAATTTTAGCCATTCTGACAGGTGTAAGATGATATCTCAAAGTTGTTTTGATTTGCATTTCCCTGATCGCTAAGGAGGTTGAGCATGACCTTAAGTATCTTTTGGCCATTTGAATTTCTTCTGTTGAGAATTCTCTGTTCAGTTCAGTGCCCCATTTTTTCAATTGGGTTAATTAGCATTTTAAAGTCGAGTTTCTTGAGTTCTCTATGTATTTTGGAGATCAGACCTTTGTCTGTTGCGGGGTTGGTGAAGATCTCCTCCCAGTCAGTAGGTTGCCTTTTTGTCTTAGTGACAGTGTCCTTTGCTTTACAGAAGCTTCTCAGTTTTAGTAGGTCCCATTTATTCAATGTTGCCCTTAATGTCTGTGCTGCTGGGGTTATATATAGGAAGCGATCGCCTGTGCCCATCTGTTGTAGGGTACTTCCCACTTTCTCTTCTATCAGGTTCAGTGTGTTCGGACTGATATTGAGGTCTTTGATATTTTTGGACTTGAGTTTTGTGCATGGTGATAGATATGGGTCTATTTTCATTCTTCTACAGGTTGACATCCAGTTGTGCCAGCACCATTTGTTGAAGATGCTTTCTTTCTTCCATTGTATACTTTTAGCTCCTTTGTTGAAAATCAGCTGTTCATAGGTTTGTGGGTTAAAATCCGGGTCTTCTATATGATTCCATTGGTCGACTTCTCTCTTTTTATGCCAGTACCACACACTGTTTTCATTACTGTAGCTCTATAATAGAGTTTGAAGTCAGAGATGGTAATACCTCCAGACAATCCTTTATTGTATAAGATTGCTTTGGCTATCCTGGGTTTTTTTTTTTTCATATAAAGTTGATTATTGTCAT